CCGCGTGCCCCAGTTGGCCGACATGTGCTGCCGTTTCAGTCCCTAATTCTCAGTGGAGGGATTCCCACGGCCAGTGCCCCGCCACGTGGCTGGGCTCAGCCCCCGCCGATGGCACTCGCAGCGGGAGCCCCGTTAGAGCGTCAGTGGTGCCCTGGCAGGCTGTCAGCCTGCTCTGTGGCTTTCCAAGATTTGCCAAGAGCAAGCGGCCGGGGCTGTGGCATGCCAGGGACACCGGGCTGGGCTTTGGCAGGGACTGCCGCCTGCCCATGGCTCTCGCTGCCACCAAAGCTGTGCAGGAAGGTGCAGGCAGAGATGGGTGACAGCAAGGTGTGGGGCCAGCCGTGGGGACAATGCTCTTTGCAGCCTTGTCATCTGTCTCCAGCAGAATAGATATCTCTTAAAGTTTTCTTTTTTCCTTAATTTCCTTGGCCTTTCACTCCTGCCAGCTGTCTGGGCAAGCCCGGTGTCCTGGTTTCAGCTGGGATAGAGTTAATTTCCTTCCTAGTAGCTGGTACAGTGCTGTGTTTTGGATTTAGGGTGAGAACAATGTTGATAACACACCGATGTTTTAGTTGTTGCTAGGTAGTGTTTACACTAGTCAAGGACTTTTCAGTTTCTCGTGCTCTACCAACTGAGAAGGCTGGAGGTGCACAAGAAGCTGGGAGGGGGCACAGCCAGGACAGCTGACCCAAACTGGCCAAAGGGATATTCCATACCATGTGACGTCATGCTCAGTATATAAACTAGGGAAAAGCTCACCGGGGGGGGCCGCTGCTCGGGGACTGGCTGGGCATCGGTTGGTGGGTGGTGAGCAATTGCGCTGTGCATCACTTGCTTTGTATATTTTATTATTATTATTATTATATTTCAATTATTAAATTGTTCTTATCTCAGCCCATGAGTTTTCTCACTTCTACTCTTCCAATTCTCTCCCTCATCCCACCAGGGGGGCGGGGAGAGTGAACGAGTGGCTGTGTGGTGCTCAGTTGCTGGCTGAGGTTAAACCATGACACCTGGGATTTTACTTCCAAACAAAAGACCCTGCATTTCCTTTGCTCTCTAATTTGCTGGAGCTCTGTACTCATTAATTGCTTCTCAGTTTTAACACACACCTCTGGAACCAGCAAGCGCACCAGGCGATGGTGCTGGGAGAACTGAGGCAAGTGCCCATGCCTCAGTGGACAACACAGGGAAGAAGAGGAGCTCGGCTCTTTCAGAGCGTATTGAAATCACTGAGTTTATTAGGGATTTGTATGCAGCTGACCTGGCCCTGCTGGGGCTGTGCACCCTCAGTGGCGTGGTTAGTGCTTCTGCCCCACCGTGGGCTCTCCAGAGCCCCACAGCTGCTGGGGGTTCCCCCTCTCGGTGTCAGTGCCAGGGGCTGGCTTCTGGTGGGGGCAAGGACACGGGGACCGGATCTGCAGTGGTGAGGAGTTATGAAGCTGACCTGGACCACAGGTCCACAGCATGGCTGTGGCCAGGGGCAACCAAAAGCCACCCGTGGCAAATGGCTGGGAACCAGCAATGGGTCTGTGCAGAGGCAAACCCAGCAAGTGCCGGGACAGCACAGGAGTGCCGGGGCCAGGGCAGCCCCGAGCGGGAGCACTTGGGCGGGGGTGTCTGCGGGGGAGGCAGGTGGGGATGGTCGTGCAACCCAGGGACCTGCCCCGGCCCCGTGGGTGAAGGGTCCTGGCTGGACCCTGGCCTGGAGGTGCCAAGCCCTTGGCCATGCGATGGCGGGGGAGGCAGGTGGGGATGGTCGTGCAACTGCTTCCCCGTGTGCATGTCGAGCCTGCAGCCACCTGGCTGGGCAAGAGCCGTGGGAGCAAATGGGAGGTAACTGGGGGGCACTGGCATGTGTCCAGGGGAGTCTGTGAGTCCTGGCAAGGCGGGGAGGAGACCCCCGCCCCATGCTGCCTACCCAAACAGGGGATGTCTGGGAGCCCGAAGCACCTCTACGAGGATCCCAGCACTCCCCAGCATCACACCCAGCCATGGGGCAGAGTCACCATCTCTATCTGGGAGCAAGAGGTGGGTGGGGAGGTGGAGGGGGCCACAGGAGCCAGCCCCGAGCACGGCGGGACTGGGGGCTGTGGAGCGGGGAGCTGAGCTGGATCCTCCAGCACTGACCCATCGGGTGTGAGCAGGGCTGGCGGTGAGGTGGGACCTGCTCTCCTGGGGAAAGCAGAGAGGGATCTGCTGAAGCCATGCCGTCCCCACCCTTGGGGTTTGCAAGACTCCACTGGATGAAAGCCTGAGTAACCTGGGCCTTGCTGTGGCAAGGGCTGGACTACAGACCTCCAAAGGTCCCTTCCAGACTGAGTTATCCCGGGATGCCCTGATCCCATTGCCCCCCTCTGGAGCAGTGCTTGCTGCTTGCCACAAGCCCAGCCCCAGCTCCAAGAGTCTGGCCCGTTGCAGATGGCTGCTTGTCCCCAGCCTCCCAAAATGCAGTCTGAGGCCACATCTCTTGCTAATGCCGACTTTCAGATCTTACAATTTACTTTGCAGAAAGAAAAAAAAGAAAAAAGTGGCTTTTCTGGCCTTTATCTGGTGCTCAGCCTCTCCCCAGAATGGTGCTTCAGGCTGGGGGTCACTTTTGGGCTGCTTTTGGGCAGGTGTACCGTGAGTCCCTGTGCCCAAGGCTCCGGCTGGGAGGGTGGGAAGACGCTGGCGGGCTTGTCCCAACCCCAGGATGGGAGAGCAGGAGCTCTCGCTCACCTACTCCAACGGCAGGGTGCACTCCTCTGCAAAGACAACGAGGGATGAGGCTCATCTCCTGCTCCAGAGAGGAGCCCGAGGAGTAACGCGGCACTGGGGAAAGCTGCTCAGCACCCACCCAGAGGGATGTGCCGACTAAAATCCCCCATGGACCCCAGTTGGAGCAATGTTTCTGCCTCACACCCCATGCACTGCCTGCAAGGGCTGAGCCTGCCCCAGCTCAGTGCATCCCAGTGAACCACCACCCTGGCTGTCGAGCTGTGCTCCCCGTGGTCCTCAGTGCAGCAGCCACAGGAAGGTGCCAACATCATCCTCTACCTCTCGCCACCTCTATGCTCCATGCGAGAGCCGAGCACAGGGGACCCCTGGGCACAGAGGACCCGGGGACAGGGGCTGCCGGTTGCTCTTACTGGCTTTGGGCAGCACAATCATCTGCTCCCTGGAAAGACCCATCTGGCTCATGGTGTCTCTGAATTTCTCCAACGTATGGGGTTTCACTTCAGTGTCTCTGCCTGCAGGGACAGAGACGTGGCTGCAGCCTGGCTGAATGTCCCCAAACCTCCTCCTCCTCCTCCCATGGGGGTGGCGCTGGGAGCACATGCAGCTCTGCCAGAGCCCCCAGCCCCCCAACACCCCCAGAGCAGCGGGACACTGTCCAGCAGCTCCCATCCCACTGGCAGGGGCTTGTTGGAGGGTCTGCCCCCCATGCCCCTCGCCTCCCTGGGCATCAGCCGTGCTTTTTTGTGCTTCCTCTGACACTTACTGTAGAGGAACAGCACTGAGATGGTCAGCCCCTGGTATTGCCGGTCGCTGAGGAGAGTGGTGTGGCTGGCATAGTCCGTATCAACCAGGCCACAGCTGGTGAGACCTTTCCCTGCAGAAGAAAGTGGTGGGATGTTTAAGATGTGGTTTGGGGAAGGGATGAGCTCTGGGCACCACCTCCCACCAGGATGCAGGCTGAGCCTCCTCGTGCATTGGGCTCTTGGTGCTCGAGGAGCTCCTGGAGCCTCAGGCACCACTGGGATGCCACATGTTTTCTCATGTCATGCCTGCCTGGGCCTCACCCTGCACCCCTCCTCTGCACCCCCTATATCCAAACCCCTCCACCCTACACACTCTGCACCCCTCCTCTACCCCCCACATACCCAGCACCCCTCCAGGGCACCCCTTGTACATCTCTTACCCCACTTCATCACCCCCTGTACACCCCTCACCTCCTGTGCACCCCTGTGTACCCCTGACCAAGTCCCTGAAGTCCCTCTCTGCCTACCCGCTGGCCTCCAGATCCCGGCTCCCCACCCGTCCCCACCACCTCCACCTTGGCATGGCGTGGGACCTCCTCGCATGCCAGTCTTGTCCCCAGGACCGCCTGTGCCTCTCCCCTGGCTGTGGGACATGGTCACTTCCAGCCCCCCCTAGCCAGGTTGTCTCCCTTTCTGGGAGGTCCCATGGACCTGGGACCACCCGGGGCTGCAGCCCCCTAAAAGCCATTGGTTCTTACTGTGCCTGTGAGAAGCATCACTTCTTTCCTCCAGACCATCACTGGGGCTCCTAAGCCCTGAAGAGCCTAAAGAAAGTTGTTTATTTAGTCTTGGGAACAAAGTATGATTTTAACAGCCCAAATCTGCAAGCTTTAGGATCTTACCCCACCATGGGGGACCTGCTGGGAGTAAATTGCACCAAGAGAGAGGCTGGGGCCCCCCAGCACTGCGTCTCACATGCTGGAGGTTGGGACTCTCTGAGGATGCTCCTGGACAATCTCTCCTTCAATTAACCCAGCACAGACCCTCACTGATGACCGGGCGTGCAGGTAGACCAGCACGTGCTCACAGCCACCGCGCTGCCTCTCCTGGGACACCCTGCGACGTGGCCCTATTGTGGCCCCACAGGAAAGGGACATTTCTGCCCCAGATGTCATGACCCGCAAATCCTGACTCCAGCACGCTCCACAGAGAGAGACGGAGAGCCGGGAGGGTGCGTGGTGCTGGGCTGGGCTCTGGGACAGGCATCCCTGCGCCTGGGTGGAGACGTTAATGGGGCAGCACGGCTCTCTGAAGGGCCCGGTATGGGGAGCCCAGGGAGCATGGCATGGAAATCCCTATCTCCCCATGACACACTTTGTGGCAGTACATGAAACTGCCACCTACACGGTGGGGAATAGCCCACATCGATGTTCGTGCTATGGAGGGGTCCTGTTCTGGGGGTGGCTTAAGCCAGGTCCCATCTCCTCCCTCGCACTCCCCTGGTACTTACAGGAGTTTGCTTATTTACTGGGTTGATCAGGGTTTTTTTAGGACCATCATCCTCTGCTCGCATCCTGCAGGGCTGGAGAGCAAATGAAGACCATTGGACTCCAGCTGATGGCATACAAAGCCCTCAGCTTTCCCACTGGGCCTCCTCAAAAAGCAGCTTGAGAGGTCATTTGGTTGCTCCAGCCCAAGCAGCTTCTGGGAGAGGCGTGAAGCTGCACCTGGGGCTTGAGTTCAGGCAGTTCCACTTAGAGACAAGGCATAATTAACAACATCGGGATGGCTGGGAGGAAGCTGTCAAGGGAATGCTAAGATTTCCATCTCTCATCTAGCCAAGACCGGACACCTTTCTAGGAGGAACAGGGTCATCACGCAATTAATTGGGCTGAATGCAGAGGTAGTGTGGGGGATCCTGTAGCCAGTGCTAGACAAAAGAAGAAACTAATTTTCTCATCAGGTCTTTAAAGCATGTGAAGGCACATCAGTCATCGCCACTGAGAAGTTCGGTTGATTTTGGCCTTTCTTCTCAGACATGCTCCCAGAATGGGGATTGAAGACAGTCCTGCACTGGTAAAGGTAGACTAAATACAAAGGTGTTTCTAATTTCTGTGATTTAGTAATGCTTCTCCAGTCCCCGATGCTGCTCACTCGAAGGTGCTTTACAAACACCCAGGGATGAATTAATTCTCTGACTCCACCTGAAACCTGATGGAGCAAAACCTCCCTCATGGGCTGGAGCGGTTCCTGGCACAGTCCCTTGCTCCATTTTTGCCAAACTAGGCTGTACCTCAAGTCCGAATTGGCAGCAGGAGCAGCTGTTGGACATCTCTTGCCTGGGTGCAGAACTCTGGCATAGCAGCCCCTCTGGTCTCGCCTCCTGAAGTCTCCAGCCACATGGCAGGTTCTCCCATGTCCACCATATTTTTCTACAGCTGGTTGTTCACCTTTCCAGATTGGAGGCGAGAGACCAGCTCCTGACGGCTCTGCTCTGTGCGCACAATCAGCACACGTGTTACCACGACGGGAAGCAACAACTCCCCGGGACCCGTGTAGTCCTTTCTATGTTTTACGAAGAACTCAAGAGCTAGCCGAGGTGAAGAGCAAGGAGGAGAGGAGCCCTGGGTGAAAGCCATAGCGTGTGATAAGATTTGCGCTGACACTTATCCAGGAATTAAAGTTTTGATGATTATTTCACCATCACGGTGAAATATGGTGCTCACAGACATCTTCCCATTTTTCTTGAGGTCTTCAATCCAGCTGGAGTGGGACGCTATGGCAATGGTACGCCACTTCCCAGCGAGCGAGAGGAATGGCTCTGCACTGATTAATACAGAGAGCAATGAGAGATTCAAAAAAAGCAGGAACCCCCCCCACTCCCTCCTCTGCCTAGGCTGCTGACAGGGTGGACAAGCATCTCTTCTGCCAGGCTCAACAGCGGTCTGCCATAAAGAGCTAACCCTATGCAAGATCCACTTGGCCAAACCCAGGTAGCCTGTGACCCTCACTAGCCCACTGACTGCCCCACTAAGGCGTTCAAGCACCCAAACTTTGTGCTGTTGAATGCCAGGAAGCCTGAGGGACTTTGACTTCCAGCAGGAACTGGGGTCCTTGCAAAAACAGGCAGGTGGGTTTTGTCTGACTTCTGCTCCCTCGGGGAGACCGTGTCCAAGCAAGGCATCTTCCCCGTCTTCCACCATGGGAAAACCCTCCAGCAGCATTGCCTTCTCTCCATCAAAATATTCTTTCAGAGGGATTTTTGCCTGGGCCTGAAGCGTCAACAGAAGTATCAACTGCAGGAGCAAGAAAATGACCTTCATCTTCAGCACACCTGCAAGAAAGACAGGCTCCACAGGCAGCTCAGAGCTCTCATCCCTGCACACGGATCCTCAGGGGCAGCAGAGCAAACCCTCCCTTGTCCCCCATCTGTGCGATGGCCAGTGCCGAGATAACAGTGCCGAGACAACATCGTTAGCTGGGTTTCTCCCCGCCTGCAGCTGAACGGCGTGTTCCTACCGAGGTCTGAGACAGAGCCATCCCCTCAGGTCCTCCACAAGAGGGCAGGGAGAAGGGGGCGAGAAGTTGTCTGCCAGCTTCAGCCCCACCGGCGGTTTCCATGGGGTCAAAGCAAGAGGCTCCAGAGTGATGGAGAGCCCCAAACGAGCTCCTCGGCACCCTGGGGTGCATCCTGCCTGGTCCCAAGGGCTGGATATGTCCCATCTGCATAAGTGATCCTCATTTAATCCCTAAATCTTCCTTTGCTGTGGGTAAAGCTTCACTCCCCCAGAGTCTTTTTTGCTCAGATGTGGTGGTGTAGAGCAGTGCTCTCCAAACTTTTCTGATTGCACACCCTTATCAGTGAAAAACTTTTGAGCATGCACTCCCAATATATGTATTCATATATTATATACATGTACATTATAAAACATACACAGTAATAGACATTTTAAAAGGACAAGATGAAGATTAAATAAACACTAGCTTTAAAATATTATTTTATTTTACTTTATTTATTAATGGTACCAAAAATACTTTCTTCCTGCACCCCAAGGGATTGTCATGCGTACCCCCTGGGGTGCATGCACCCCGCTTTGGAGACCACTGCTCTAGAGAAAACAGGGATCTCCCCTGACAGATAAGTCTGATAAAAGGGATATATGTTTCTTTTATCCCTACTGACACTGCTGGTCTTTATGGCAAGCTCCGTTGGTCCATGTCGTGGTGTGGTCTCGCCCATCGGTGTCACGAGTCGATGAAGGCTGAGCACGGACCACGCTCAGGACGTGTGGTGCCTGACCCTTGCCTGCCACAGGGGTTCTCCATCCTCCTTCCCTGCCTGTCACCTCCAGAGGTGCATACCCGGCCAAATACTAAAGTAGCTACAACTGGCAGAAGCAGTCATGAAATCACAGGTTTCCCTGTCAGTAGGGAGAGCAGAGGGGTGGCAGATAGCTCTGGCTCACCCTGCCCTGGGGACCGTGGGTGGGAAGGGATGTGAAATTCCTGTTTTATTTCCAAAGGAGCTGCCAATTTTGTAGATGTCCTAAAAACTGGGTTCCCCAGCTGGCTCTGTCTTGTCCGTGTGCTCTGGGAGGACGTGTTGCATCCTCACCTGAGCAGGATAAGGCACTGGGAAATCCTTGCCTCATTCAGGGACGGGGGTGTTTCCAATCACAGGAAACCCGTTCCCATAATTTCTGCTAAGTAGGAGTCTTACAGAGTCTTACTTATAAAGAAATCCCAACCCAGCTTTCGGCCGAGGTCCAAGGAGGACATGTTTCGCTGTGCCTGTAGGCATATCTTCTTGCACACACTGAGCAGTGGTCACAGCATCCTTTCACACCGCTTTATTTACGACCACCAGGTAACACCTTCCTGGCTCCGTGTGCTGCTGAGAGCCCCTGATCCCTTCCTGAAGGCACGTCATGAACCAGATTAATCTGGTCTCCCACCCACACTCCTGGCTTATTGCCACCATTTTGCGTGTGGAAGCAGCTCTCCGTTCCCAGGATTAACTTTGACTCCTGAAACTACAAAGATCAATCCCCTGACAATGGTTTTCCTACTTACACATATTTTATTGCATTAAGGGAAAGACATCCGGCTCTGCAGTGTCTGCAAGTCCAGCCCAGGCAAGATTATCCACCACTTAACAGGAGATGCAAACAGCCAAGCATTACTGCTGTGCTTTGCACAGTGTTTCACCTCAGAAAGGGCTCTGCTTAGGAATAAAAGCTCTTTCCAGAAAGCCTGCCAAAGCCCTGGTGTAGATAAATGATTAAAAAAAATAAGGCTTACCAAGGGCACCGTCACATCAAAGGCAGTGTGTGGACAGCCAGTACAGGTTCTTCACCTGGGCAATATCTATTTCTTAGGAAAAAAGTTCCCAGAATTACTTATTGGAAGAACTCCCGCGGCCAAGCAATTATCAGTTTTACAAAATCCCCTCATTGCGTGCCATCCTTCTGCCACTGGTCCGAGAGGGTGAAGACCTCTGCAGTGCTCCACAACAGAAGGAAGGTACCTGGCTCCTGGGATGGGATGCTACACAGCTGACCTGCCCAGGGTCACACTTGCGTGCGTTGGGCTTTCTGAAGCCCACTGCGAGTTCAAGCCAGCTGTGCTAGGGGCTTTCAGACACAAAGGGAGACGATGCTGTGAATTAGGTACCCAGCTCCCAGGTCCCCACCGGCTAATAACGGGTCTGAGCATTGGATGCATTGGTGAGGGAGAGCAAGGAGCTGCCGGCTGTGCCCCCACCAGCACCCTGCGGCACCGCTTGACCGGGAGCCCCAGACCCCTTCTTGTGTGTCATGACACATCCCTGCCATGGGGAGGGTGGGGGTCGCTCAGCAGCGATGCCTGCACCCTTGGTGAACATCTGTAACAGCGCCCTGCACAGGGCTTTCCTGATGGCCCCTTTGACCTCACTGTTTCTCAAGCTGTAGATGATGGGGCTGAGCGTGGGGGTCACAATGGCATACAGCAGGGCAAGGACCTCGTCCACCTCCCTGGAGCCGCTGGAGTGAGGCACCAGGTACGCAACGGCCCCAGCGCTGAAGAACAGGGCCACCACGGTCAGGTGGGAGGTGCGGGTGGCAAAGGCCGTCTGCGTCCCTGCTCCCTTCTGGAGGACAGCCCTGATGATGTGAACGTACAACATGAGAATAAGGAGGAAAGAGCTCATCCCGATCGTCCCAGCCAAAGCATGCAAGGCAGCCTTGTTGAGGGGAGCATTAGGGCTGCAGGACAGTGAGAAGGGCATCTCGCAGAACAAGTGGTCGATCATGCTGGACCTGCAGAAGGGCAAGCAAGTTGTGAGGAAGGACTGGATCAGAGGCGAGAGGGAGCCGCTCAGCCACAGAATGGCCACTAAGCAGTGGCACATCTCCTTGCTCATGCGTGCCAGGTAGTGGAGGGGGTGGCAGATGGCCAGGTACCGATCGTAGGCCACGGCAGCCAGGAGCATGCACTCGGAGCCCCCAAAGCAAAGGAAGAAGTAGATCTGCGTGATGCAGCCCACAAAGTAGATGGTCTTCTGCGGTGCGAAGGAGTCTCCACGGATCTTAGGGAGGGTGACAGAGGAGCAGCAGATGTCCAGAAAGGGTAGGTGGCCCAGGAATAAATACATGGGGGACTGCAGGTGGGCATCCACCCAGACGAGGGTCACGATGAGCAGGTTCCCCAGCACCATCACCAGGTGAGAAGCACAGGCAGAGGGTCACCTGTGCTCTGTAGGCACTGGAAAATCCCAAGAGAAGGAATATGGTGGGGCTGCTGAGATTTCCCTGCTGCAGGGATTTGGGGCTCATCTACAGGGAGAGCAGGAAGAGATAAGGACAGGTAGAAGGACGGTGAGCGCTCACCCCTGCCATGGGGCATCACCAGCCCTCTGCTCTGCTGCGCGGTGGGCTGAAGCCATGCCACTGCCCCGGCACTCCTCACACCTCGCTCCAGGGGCTCGGTGGGGGACATGTCTGTGGGGGCGGGTGGCGGGTCTCAGCCCATGGGGTTTCGATCCTCAAGGCAACCCCCAACTCTGTGTCACCTGAAGGACACCATAGAAAGCAGGGACCTCACCACTGCGGTCAATAATGATCCCAGGGACTGTTAAACGAGAGCAGACAAGAGCAGCTCCTCTCCCCCCTCCAGGTTTCCTGGGCTGCAACTGGAGATTGGTCTAAAGATCCCACAAAAGGTGACAGGTTGGACCCTGCCTGAACAGTTGCTGCCCTTCATGGCAGCAAATTGTGTTTACACCATTACTGAAGATACAGAAAGATGTCCTGCTTCCCCTCTCTATCACAGATTGTGGGAGCAGATCTCAAAAAAAATATAAATCTTTAAACATTACAGACAAAGAAGGTGTCTGCTTGCAAATACTGCACTGTAGGTGTTAGCCTCATGTTCACACCCAGAAAGAAATGCAAGAGAGGGACCTCTGAGAGTCTGAGACATCATAGGAGGACCAGAAAGGCATCTGAAGGTGACTGTGTAGTTCAAACAGGCTTGAGGGTGGCAAGGAAAAGCAGAGACACTAGCCTGCAGGAAAAGGGAAAGACTGAATCTGACGAGAAACTGGAGCTCAGGGATAAATGAAGATGAGATACAGAAGATTTTGAGTGTGCACCTAAAACTACTGAATCCACAGAAAGAGCAGTAAGGAGAGGATCAGAGATTCGTGCAAGCTTGCAAGAAGCTGTTGGTACTGACAGACCTGTCACCAGGTCCTTCCAGAGAGAAGTGTGGGAGCATCTGCCAGGAGTGAAGAGGAGGCGGGTGCCAGGCTGAAAAGACTTGAGAACCCTCAAATGACATTGCAGGCTCCCTCCAAGAGGGAACAAGGACAACCCCACCACGCTGGGGATGTGCTCCACGATGCGGAGATTCAGGGATGGGCTGTGGATTTGTCCTGGTGCCCAGCAGTCAAGGTGGGTGTGTGAGCAGGGAGGGAGGGAGGAGCAGCCAGCCCAAGGCTGGGTGCCACAGCAAGGGCTGGGGTGCTTAAGCAGCTGGGAGCCTCCACAGACACCCTCCTCCTAATGCAAGGAGGCATGCCAGCAGGAGGGGAGAAGCCTTCAAGGATCTGATGCCAGGCTTTCAGCCATGAAGGGAATGGAGGTCGAAGCAGAGGCATGTACCCTCCATGCTGATTTGGGATGTGCTGGAAGAGTAGGAGCTGGTAAACAAGGGCATAACCACAGAGGGAAGGGAAGCACCAGTAGGGATAAGAGCCATTGGGACAGCGGAACGGGCAGCAAAAGGCTGGTGTCTCCTCTGGCTCAGGAAGAGCAGGTGGTCCATAGGAAATAACACAAATGATTGTGGCCTCACGCAAAGCTGGTATGGAGGAACTCAAATTACTACATGGAGCCGCCCATGGCAGCAGATGTTCCCAGAGGTCAGAGAAATAACTGATGTGACCAGAGCAGAGCAGAGGCAATGGAGGACACAGGAGGAGAGGGTAAGAACGGGAGGCGAGGAAGAAGGGTGGTACAGCACAAGACGTTGAAAGGCACCATCAAAATCCCTTCCTGGATCTAAATTGCCTGGGGAAGGAGGGAAAGGAAGATCTGCCCGGATGGTACTGGGAGACTGTGACAGATCCCCTAGCCAGACTGGGGTGAGGACAAAGCCCCAGGAGATAAATTCTTCCAGGAAGAGTAACTCTTTGGAGGGGTGGTGGTGTTATAAATCACAGCCTTGTCTGTAACAGTCATTCCAGATACCCTTGGATATGATATCTCACATATCTCTTCACCAGGTCACAGCATAAAGTGAGCTGACAGGGGTTTTTTGTACCTGTTCCTGAAAAATAGGCTGTTTTTAGAAGAGCTATCTGAGAAAATAACTTCAGCTAGAGTAGGCATGAGTCAATGCCATTTTGCGTAAATGGGAAGATCAATAGGAGCAGATTGGTGGCTGTGGCTGTGAACAAGCACAAATCAGGACAAGCGAGGAGAGCTGGTTACTGCAGCTGGGCAGATTTGGGAAGTCAAGCATGCAAATGCATAGAAAAGCTGGGATTTCATGAAAGCAAAGGTGCAAAACCCAGCTAAAAACTCCCTCTCAAGCACAAAGCAGAGGCTGGAGGAGCAGGGCTTCTCCTAGCAAACGAGCAATGTATATACACCGAGGAGGATATTTGGAAACAGTTGAAAGTCTGCAAGGAAAGAAAAGAGCGTGAAAAGCGGTAAGCAAAGTCTGCACTGAAAGATGAAGGAGTGCAGGGAGACTGTGAAAATTGCTTGTAGTGTTATGAGATTAATATACGCCTTTCAGCCTGTCCCTCAGCTGAGGGACAGGCAGGCCCGCAGTGCTTCTCAGTTCAGTGCCCTGAAGTCAGACATTGCCCACTCCCAGTTTTCCAGGACGACAATGACAATCTACGGCAAAGGTAGGGTAGCCGGGGACAACACGAGGGCATGGGGACAGCAGCATCAAGGGGGGGGGAGAGTCTTCAGAGGTTTGCTGCATGTCAGCAGGGCTGCAGGAGGGCAGCATGGCTGCACCTGAATTCAGGAAGAATGAATGCTGCTTCTCCTGCTGTGAGGGTGCAAAACATCTTCGTGATGGGGCTATGTCCGTTGGGGGAGGAGGAATCCAGCACCAGGCATTTGCAAGGCTTTAGGGGAAAGAAAAAGAAAGAAAACTAGGTGGGCACAGGAGCTCTGGGACTATGGAGCAGTCTGCCTGCCTACAGGGTCCTCGGCTGGAGACCCAGTGGTTCGGTCAGCCCAGGGTAGTCATGAGTCGTGAGCGTGGCACAGGATGCCAAACTGGCCATGGGGACAGCGGAAAGGTTTCCAGTCCATGTGGGAAAATACTGATGCTGTGGTACATTAGTGAGACCTTGCTGGGTGGTGCACAGGGAGCAGGGAGCCCACTCGAGGAGGACAAAGCTGAGGCAGGCTGCCAGGATGCCTGGAGAGGGGAAAGTCCATCGGAGAGGACACAACACGATGTGGTCAGCCCGGAGAAGCAAAGCCAAGCAGGGAGACGGCTGCAGTATCGGGGAGCAGAGCCCTTCGCTCAAGCACGCTGCTGTGGGTAAACCCTGGCACGGGCAAGCCTGCAAGAGCTAGCAGCTTAGACCCAATTTCAAAAAAGACTTTGACCCAGGAATCATCTCCTTGGATCTAATGCACCAGGGTTTGGACAAGGAGCCGAGGTCTCACGTGGTGCCTCCTCAGGAGGTTTGGGGCCTAAAGTGCTCACATCATGGGGCAAAGGCAGGAGGGGCTTTGGTTCCTAAATCTCTTTGTCACCACTGAACATTTTTTCCTTTACCTAAAATACACCTGTTCTAAGTATAAGTAGGGGTCCACAGAGCCTTTGCATTGGTTTAATGAAGCAGAGGTGGAAAACTACATGCCTGGTTCACCTGGAAGATGGCGCACAGACAAATCCAGTGCAAGGCCCCTGGAGAGGGCACCCACACCCAGCTCTCTCCCTGTGCCCCGTGGCCTCCCCAAAACCGGGGGCATACCAAGGATCTGGTGTCCCCAGGGCACCGCCACGGTCTGGGCTACCAGAAAACCAGCTTGGCTTCTCTGGCACCAGTTGCCTCACTGGGAGGTGGAGGGCACAGGAGGGGTGAGGCACGGCAGACTGCGTGTGTCCCCCAGCAGTGCCCTCCAGCCCGTCAGCCAGGGAAGGAGGAGATGTCAAAGGCGTTGTGCGACCGGGATGCAAGTTGCATCTTCATTTCATTTGCCGATAACTGTAGGGGTTTGCAATTACATCTGCTGATTTGATAGTCATTAGCTGGATGATCAGCCAGTCATTGGAAGTGTCTGTTTGCCTTTCTGCTAATTAAATTCCATTTGATTTGCAATCAAATCTAATATGAGACATGTCAGCTCGAGACTCGAGAGCAGCTGACGGGTGCTGCTCTGCACGAAGCACAGGCCAACATCACGGTCTCGCTGGGTTTGTAGAGCCGCATCCTGGGCAGACTGGGAACACTGACGGGAAACAGGCTGTGGCACAGGTGAACAAGGGACACGTCTGCAGCTGGGCAGCACCGTGTTTGCAGTAGGGGCAGGGCTCCTGCCATGCTGCGAGCAGGCGAGCTGCGGCGCCGTGAACTTTGAGACGCGTACCAGGCACCAGGTCGTCATCTGGCTGCCGGGCCACGAGAGGGGCAGCAAGGATACCCACGTCTGCTGGTCGTGGGAGAGGGGCACAGAGCAGAGCAGGGCAGAGCTGGCCTCGC